CTGGGCTCAGGCCATCCTTCCGCTACAGTTTTCCAAATAACTGGAATTACAGGTGTGAGCTATCACGCCCAACTGATCTTTTGTAGACACAAGGTCTTGCCAAGTTGCCCAGGCTGGTCTAGAAATCCGTGAGCTCAAGCAATCCTCTCACCTCCGCCTCCCAAAGTGCTGGGACTACAGCTTTTCAAACTTTCCAAGTGAAGGCTCTTCATCTGCAAAGGGGAAGGAGGCCACCCAGCTGACATCAACGGTTTAAAGGGTCACATTATGCAATTGCAGTCAGTCCCATGCACCAAGACGTCAAGTTTCAGTTCATGCCTGTCTGTGCTTGCAACCAAGTGTCCAAACACAGCAGCTCTATAAGCAACTTATTGTTAGTGTAGAAAAAAGCAGGAAACTGATCATCTAAAAGTCAAAACTTACTTCAGAAAACATGCTTTTTGGTGGAACTGGGCATTAAAATAAACATTTTAAACACATTTAAATACAAGTAGCTAAAAGACTTTGTAAAAGCTGGATTTCATTAAACTTAAAACTTTAAAAGACATAATAGAACGTCGACAAGTTAATTACATGGACAATGTTCCAGGTTATCAGAACTATGAACTTTTCGTTTCAAAACTGAGTTTTCAGAGCATGAAAGTCAGGAGACTCCCAACTCTTTTCAGGAAGAACCACCCAGTCATCCCGACAGGACAAAACGTGTCTAACTCGTCTCAGCGACTCCGCGGGTAACTGCCTGCAGTTGGGCAGGAAGGTCACAGACCCGGGCTGCCTGGAGTTGGGTCCCCTCCGCGGCCAGTCTACACAAGCAACACAACAGTGGAGCCAGACCCACCAGATCCCCATGACACGACTTCAGAGCCGGATGGGACCGAAAGGATTTCTTAAGGAGTCCCGAGCAGGCTCGCGCAGGGCGCCTGGCGTCTCTCTACCCGCAGACCCTTCCAGATCGCGGCCCTTGCGGGGTCTTCCCCCAAAACCGGGGTCGGGGGCAAGTGAAGGTCGGGCCCTGAGGGACTCTGGACACCCGCCTGAGAGCACAACTCCTCTCGCGGGAGAGGGGACGAAGCCCCGGGGCCACACAGGCCTGAGCTCGACTGCCGGCGGCTCCCACGAGCCCAGGCCCGCCGCCGCTCACGGGGACAGCGTGCGAGAGGGGGCGGCCCAGGGCTCCCGCTTCGTCTGCCACAGCTTCCCTGGAGTCTCAAAAGGGACTTCGCATCCTCTCGCCACAAGCGCGAGGCCGCCCCGACCCGGGCACACGCTCCGCGCGGGCGGAGACCCCCGCCCGGGGCACCGACGGGCGTCCAGCCCAGAAG